TACCGAATGTCCAGTTGACTGAGAATGAAGTCATCCCGTCTCTGGTACTACTGTATACTCACACAGTCCATGAAAGTACACTACAAAGATGCACTGATTAGAAGCGTGCACAAAGCCACATGAGACGACGCAAGTTTACTCAGAACAGAAAGTGGTTGGAAGAATAGATGCTAAAGAAAGATACATATAGATAGAACCCTTTTATCTAGCTGCTGTAAAGAGAGGATTTGCAATGAAGGAATTAAAGTAGCGAAGGCCTTGATATGCAAATGAGCCTGCTGCTAATCAAAGCAATAAGATTAGCCTTCCAAATTGAGATGAAGAAAGGCGCCATTATCTGGGCCGAGTGTCATGTTTAATAACGCGGAACGGCACGCTAATTCACTACTGATGCAACCGTTCCAGCCTCTGGAAAAGTGTGCAGTGTTTACGAACGGGTTTGTCCTGGAGAGGAGGGGAGGGGAGGGGGGCGATTTAAGTGTGTAATGAGACACAGTAAAGACATGTAGAGTGGTGGGAGTGACCAGGTGTGACAGTAATGACACCACGTGAAGGACAGATTTTGTGAATGACTTGTGTGTCAGCAGAGTTTTGGAGATGAGACCAGGAACAGAAAATGAGAAAAATTTGAAAATATGTTTTGTATGTTTTTATTTTCTGGGACTTTGCAAGAAAAAATGCTAAATTGTTGTAATCAATCAAACTTTATTCTTGCTAGAGTAACACAAAATAACACTGTAACTGTAGCCTGGTTGTACCACACCATAGTACAAATGACATTTCGTACTAAGGTCTGGATTTGCTCCATTGAGCTCTGTGAACAGGTGCAAACCTTTTCAATCTGCAAACCTTTTGCAGATTGAAACGATTGGATCTGAGTTTACCGTGACGTATGTAGTGCGCCCAAGTCTGTCGTTAGCATTTCGCATTTAGCCTAGCCATCTCCTTTGCCGCTAACAGAGCTCCTGGGGAGTAGCGCCACAATTTTTCCAGCGATTACATTTGATAAACATTACTCTTGCTCCGGCTTCAATTTCTTGATAGAACCAGACCAGATTACTTTACTATCGCATTTTGTGCCATTGCCAAACTACAACCTTCCCGTTCGACGATAACTCTTGGCGTCACCCACAACTAGTTACAACACGCTCCTTCCGCACTCTCTGAATGGTCGGTCGAAATTCAACCGATTGTAATCACTAACACAGGGACCAGACCCAGACGTTACATGCAGTGAAATGATGATTGAACGGAGTGTACGGATGGATAAGGCCAGGCTACTGTAACTGTACTGTTAAGCATTCTTCCTCAAGAAAACAAACCTGGAGTTGTTTTTAGCTCCATCCACACTGATATTAGGAACTTCTTGCACAAAAAAAACATGTAATTCAACCACATTTGTCATAAATTCTTGTCTCAGTCCTGTAATAGCATGATGTAATTATACTATGACATCATCCGTTTTCTGTCTTTTCACCATTTATTATTATCATTATATCACATTCTAAAACATGGCTTGTAGTTGTATCATATTCATGTTGATGTCCAAAAATAATGCATAATATATCTTCTTTAATAGTGTAGATGTGTAAATGCATTCAATGGCCTAAAGGGTTGGACGAGAGCTGCAAGATTAATCACAATTTAATCGAAATCGCAATTTTAGCGGCTGCAAAAGGCCCATCGCAAAGACTGCAATTATTTTGATGACATTATTTTCTTTACATACATGATATAAAGGATCTTCTTATGATCATCTGGCTAGCCTTGTGTTTGGAGCTCTAAAACATTGGGAGAAATACAAGGATTATCAAAAACAGGCTCAAACGCATATAAGGTAGTATTTCTTTCAGTGAGAGCGCATTTTGACTGTTTTATCTATGGATAGAAAGGTCAGGTCTTATCTAACTTGGTTTCAAGCACCGTGGGATTATAAGTGAGAACTTACTTTATTTTTTTCAGCTTTCAGTTTTCCCTCATTATGGATTATCTTAGTGTACTTGAGACATTAACCTAGCTTCATAACATTGTGCAACCCTAGCCCTACACCAGGGGTGGCCAACCCGCGGCTCGTGAGCCGCATGCGGCTCTTTGGCTGGTTCCGTGCGGCTCTTGGGCTTTCACACGACAAGCGTCAGAAACGCCTCGGTGGTGGCGCTGCCATTCATTCCCTATGTAGTTCTGACCCATAGTAAAGGCTGACTTCACTCCACTAGCCGGGCCGCCAAAACAATCTGACGTCGGCGAACGTCAATTCTGATTGGTCAGATGCGCTTTCACTCTGCAGCTGCTGCCTCAGCTGTTGCAAATATCATAACGAACAACACGTTGCCTCGACCCATGGCGTCCCTACGGAAAACAGTTCCTTGGTCGCTGGATGAGGGCAACACCTTCCTCAGTTTGAGGAGAGGACACCAGCGTGAGCTCGATGGTTCCACCAGAAACCAGAAGGTGTTTGTGGAGCTAGCGCTAAGGACGGAGCAGAATGATTCCCACAAACATGACACTGCAGAGAAAAGTTAAAAAGCTTAAAAGTGACAACCGTGAAATGAAAGATTACAGCAGCAGAAGTAGAGGCAGACCCGAAAAGTCTGGAGGTGGTTTGACCAAATGGATTAAATTTACGGACATCGGCTAACACCGGCTAACACCGGCTAACATGCTAAAACCAGCTAACATGCTAAAAACAGCTAACACCAGCTACACCAGGAGATAAGCCTCAACTCTGCCTGGTGAGTGTCTGTCTTCAATCAAATGCAAAAGTATCTGGTCTTACACTGAACATGTGTCTGTGGTTCTAAATCAGCTAAAGTGGTGTTGGTGTTATGTGTCAAATCTATATATTTTACTAAACGCAGTCAGAGTGAATCATGGTTCGATAAAGACAGTTGTGTTTCTGCTGAACACTGGGTTGAAACTTGATTTTTTTTTCTTGGTTAGAGATTGAAAGCATTCATTTCGGAATCATAATTGATGTTCGCTGACGTGAGATTGTTCTGGTATCGACTCGCCCGGTTAGAACCAGGGCCAATGCATTAATAAAAAGTACCGGGGAGCGGCTGAAGCGAGCGGTGGAAGCGCCCGCAAACCAGGGAGAGTTGAGTCCAGCCCTTTAGTACTGTACGAGTCAATTTCTGTCATTATCATGTTGATGACATTTACAATAAATCTGTCTGAGCAGAGCACACCTCTCTCTGCTCAGACAGATTGCATGTGTGTGCGCGTGTCTGCTCGTGTGCGTACGTGCGTGCGTGTGTAAGGGTTGGGGTGATGTTTATGTAGTGCACATTTGTATGATGTGGCTCTTTGCTGTAACACAGTAAAAAAAATGGCTCTTACGTAGTTAGAAAATTTCGCTGCTGCGCGGCAGGCAACGTAAGGGCCTTGCGGTGACCAACGCGTTGCGCAAGTGACGTCACGTCACCTCCGTAAGCTCCGCGCCGCGCGACTATAACTTAGGCTTTAGTCTCTGACTGGTTGGCCACCCCTGCTCTATCTGAAAAGATTGAATTTATACAGCCATCGAGAAAGTTAGAATTTCCTCATTGTTTTCATGCGAGGTGGTGGGGAATTTCTTCATGTTTGATGCTCTCCTGACCACAGGCTCAGACCTACAGAGCTAAAACTCACATCACTAACAGTTGGTGATGGCCTGTGCGTAATGGTGTGAAAATACACACCCAATAAAGCACCACCTATGGAAGGCTTCCGACCTAAACTTTTCCTAAACTTCACCAAAGTCGCACAGTCAATTCTTTTCATCCGCAAAATACTACTTTACGTAGAAGGTGCATGTCCCGGAAGGGACCACTAGGGGCACACCAAATTCTATTAATGAGCTTTTCCTTGCCTCATCCTGGTCCGATTGGGCTGCGAATTCGTCGGCGAGTAGGCCGCTTTATGCTTGTGGGACTGGCGCCCGGGAGGCAGCCGCAAGAGTGGCGAGGCCTTTCATTGCCGCTTGCGGCTTTAATTTACCATTGGGATGTTCAACGCTGCCAGGGACAAGGGTCGAACAAAGAATTTACCCTTTAAATTGTTTGATCAAGCCGTCACATCACTGTCAGAAGGGGGAATATTCTCGTAAAAGTGAATAAATTCAGAGAGAGAAATTGAAGAGCTAGAAAATGCAGTACTGGAAAACTCTTCCTCTTGAGGAGGTTGAAGAAGCCAAGCCCAAGAAATATCAGGCAAGACACGCTGCAAAGGGGTACAGCACTGGCCTCAGCTTACAGTGGAGGTTGTTTAAACTTCCTTATAATACTTTCAGATGAGCAACATTTGCAGCGTAGCTACTGCGCTTGATCATCATCATCCAGGTTTCTGTATTTCTCTGCTTCCTCTGATGCAGACCATGGATGTATTGGGTGCAGACCCCCATGGTTCTCCTGAAACACAGGGGTCTGCTCCCCGCAAACTAAGCACAGCTTTACCTCTGATTTCAGCAGAGTTTGTGGCAGTAAAGTGTGGATTTAAAGAAAACCGAAGGATTTATGAAGAAAAAAACTAAAATCCCCACAAAATCCGACCTTTGTGAAAGCTGTAGGTTCTCTGTCAGGTTCTCTGTCAGGTTCTCTGTCAGGTTCTCTGTCAGCTGAGGTCGCGCTGTTTTAGTTTACATTGAGTTCTATGGGGAACATTTCTGGGTAGCCCACGTGAATTTTGTCTGGTTTAGTCTGCAGTACCGCAAGAATCCCCAGAGCACATGGGTCCTTCAGCTCCAATGTATTGTACGTCTGTAATTACTATTTATCCATTTTCTTACGCTTCATCCGTTGCCAGGTTGCGGGGGCAGCAGTCTGAAGCAGTGACGCCTCAGACATTCCTATCTACACCCTTCCTCCAGCTCATCCCGGGGGATCCTCAGCATGGATCTATTAAATCCATCCATGCTGAGGATCCCCCGGGACCCTATGACAAGTCTAACAAATGTTTTCAGAGCAGGATATTAGAAGCAAACTGTGTAGCTTTAAAGATTCCCTCTTGTTTGTGCAGATGTAATGACAGAGTTGCAGCGCCCCCGTGTGGACATGTGTGGAGCTGCACACACAAACAGGTGCTTGTTCAGATCCATGTTCCTTTATACAGTTCATAATCTGAAACAGGTAAAAACAACTTAACCTGTTGTTTACAGCGGTGGGAGACAACATGGGTCTGAAGCTGAAGAAAGAAGCACGAGACCAAAGCTGAGAAGATCCAGATCCATGAGTATGCCTCCAGAGTTCTGCGCAGAGTAAGAACTGTACATTGAATGTTAGTCAGTGACGGGACCAGGACGGGACCAGGACGGGACCAGGACGGGACCAGGACGGGACCAGGACGGGACCAGGACCTATCACTGTGTTTACTGAGAAAAAGCTGTTTGTTTCAGAACCAGAGCTCTGTAGAAGTAACCCGTAAAAGGGGAAAACAAGTATCTATTTTTTTTATTTTTTTTAGCTTATTATTTCTTATAAAAAATTGCTCAAACAATACAAAAAAAACAACTGCAACAACAACATAAAACAGCAAACAAACGGTCCTCTTCACGTCCACTCACCTCACCGTCTATGACATCCCCTTCAACAACAACACCCAACAAAAGGTCAAGTGTCAAAAGAGAAAACAACAACAAAAACTCCAACATGTTGATGAACTAACTGGCATGATACATCCACATACACATTAGAATCCTGTAAATGTTAAATGAATCCTCCTGTGGCTCTTTAACCAAGCAGAACACTTTGCCAATGCATGAGTCTAATGGAAGAGTTCTCTATGTCAGATGTACACGTTTACAAAGTGTATGTGAGAGAGATACCTTTTTACAGAATGTTTTCTCCTTGTTGCAAATTGTATAATGCTAGCCCACCACTTTAGATAATGTTCCTTCTCTTTCTCAGAAGGGATTAGATAGATGGATACTTTATTGATCCCCGTAGGAGAAATTCAGGTGTCCACTAGAAGCAAAAATAAAATTGATCATTCTAAAAATCTAACAATAGTAATAATCAGCAACAGCCCTTCAGGTCACAGCAGCAGAGGTGGAGTAGTCTCTGGGTGGAGCAGGACAGGTCACAGCAGCAGAGGTGGAGTAGTCTCTGGGTGGAGCAGGACGGGTCACAGCAGCAGAGGTGGAGTAGCCTCTGGGTGGAGCAGGACAGGTCACAGCAGCAGAGGTGGAGTAGCCTCTGGGTGGAGCAGGACAGGTCACAGCAGCAGAGGTGGAGTAGCCTCTGGGTGGAGCAGGACAGGTCACAGCAGCAGAGGTGGAGTAGTCTCTGGGTGGAGCAGGACAGGTCACAGCAGCAGAGGTGGAGTAGCCTCTGGGTGGAGCAGGACAGGTCACAGCAGCAGAGGTGGAGTAGCCTCTGGGTGGAGCAGGACAGGTCACAGCAGCAGAGGTGGAGTAGCCTCTGGGTGGAGCAGGACAGGTCACAGCAGCAGAGGTGGAGTAGCCTCTGGGTGGAGCAGGACAGGTCACAGCAGCAGAGGTGGAGTAGCCTCTGGGTGGAGCAGGACAGGTCACAGCAGCAGAGGTGGAGTAGTCTCTGGGTGGAGCAGGACGGGTCACAGCAGCAGAGGTGGAGTAGCCTCTGGGTGGAGCAGGACAGGTCACAGCAGCAGAGGTGGAGTAGCCTCTGGGTGGAGCAGGACAGGTCACAGCAGCAGAGGTGGAGTAGCCTCTGGGTGGAGCAGGACAGGTCACAGCAGCAGAGGTGGAGTAGCCTCTGGGTTTGGACCATTTTCTCTGCTCTAGGCCAAAGTAAAATGCTTCATTAGTATTTTTCAAAGAGTTAGTATTCCTCCAGTGGATTTTCACCTGATCCACTTGGTTCGGACCAGTCTGAACCAGTTTAAAACCATGAACACAGATACAGCAGATATTTTTCTAAATATTTTTTAGAATTTTAAAATGGAAACTACTGCAACTCCCTCCTGTTCGGTCTCCTGCAAAAGACCCTCCATAAACTCAAACTGAAAAAAACACATCACCCCTGTCCTCCTCACACACACCTCCTCCATCAACCACATCACCTCCTCCATCAACCACATCACCTCCTCCATCAACCACATCACCTCCTCCATCAACCACATCACCTCCTCCATCAACCACATCACCTCCTCCATCAACCACATCACCCCTGTCCTCCTCACACACACCTCCTCCATCAACCACATCACCTCCTCCATCAACCACATCACCTCCTTCATCAACCACATCACCTCCTCCATCAACCACATCACCTCCTTCATCAACCACATCACCTCCTCCATCAACCATATCACCCCTGTCCTCCTCACACACACCTCCTTCATCAACCATCACCCCTGTCCTCCTCACACACACCTCCTCCATCAACCACATCACCTCCTCCATCAACCACATCACCCCTGTCCTCCTCACACACACCTCCTCCATCAACCACATCACCCCTGTCCTCCTCACACACACCTCCTCCATCAACCACATCACCCCTGTCCTCCTCACACACCTCCTCCATCAACCGCATCCAATACAAAATCCTGCTCCTCACGTACAAAGCCATCCACAACCTCACTCCTTCACACCTGACTGACCTCCAGATCTCCACACCTGCTCGCTCCCTCCTGCCTCCTCCTTCTCTCTCCAGCTCCTGGTCCCTCCTGCCTGCCTCGTCCCCATGGGGAGTAGAGCCTTCAGCCGCTCTGCTCCCCAGCTCTGGGGATACACGTGTGTGGGTCTCATGCACGTGCACAGAGGGGCTCGGCCGCGCTCTGACCAATCAGAGCAGTTCATCAGAGCGGGAGTTAGAGCGAGAGCCAGACGAGCAGAGTTTGTGGCAGTAAAGTGTGGATTTAAACAAAACCGAAGGATTTAAGAAGAAAAAAAGTTCAGGATGAAAAGGGACACTAACATCCCCACAAAATCTGACCTTTGTTAAAGCTGTAGGTTCTCTGTCAGCTGAGGTCGAGCTGTTTTAGTTCACATTGAGTTCTATGGGAACAAATTCTGGGTAACCCACGTGAATTTAGTCTGGTTTAGTCTGCAGTACCGCGAGAATCCCCCGAGCACGTGGGTCCTTCAGCTCCAAGCTAGTAATACCTTATCCAGTTATTATAATAGATCCATGGAACAACCCTAACCGAAAACATCACAGCTCTATGGAAGAATGGGTCAAAGTGTGTGTTTGTGTGTGTGTGTGTGTGTGTGTGTGTGTGTGTGCGCGCGCGTGCGTGTGCGCGTGTGTGCGTGCGTGTGTGTGCGTGCGTGTTTGTGCGTGTGTGTGTGTGTGTGTGCGTGCGTGTGTGTGCGTGCGCGTGTGTGCGTGCGTGTGTGTGCGTGTGTGTGCGTGTTTGTGCGTGTGTGTGTGTGTGTGTGTTCCAGGACATTTATTAACATTTCTGAACAATGGTCGTCCCGCTCCCTGAGGACAAACGGCTCCAATGTGTTTGTTAATATTATATTATAAACTTCCTCCAAGACGAATGCAAACAAATATATTGAATTGAACTTGTTATCATCTCTGTTGCAGGATTCAGGAGTTCAGAGCAGAAGAGCAAGAGTTGGACTTTACCTTCTTCAGCCCCAGAAGTGTTTTGTGTTGTGGATGCCTCTTCACGACTAAAGTGAATAATAGAATGGTAGAATTCCATCCATTAACAGTTTTTCAAAGCATCACTCTTGGATGTAGTATAATATGTAAATAGGGTATTGCTAGCTTAGACCTGTCTCCACGGAGATTTCCACAAATAATTCAATGTTCAGTAAAACAGATCGTCCCAGCTGACAGGGAACCCACAGCTTTCAAACTAGTCGGATTTAGTGTCCCTTGTCATTCTAAACTTTTTTTAAAGTATTTTAAAGTTATTTTTTTTATAAATTCACATTTCTGCTAATGTTTAGGATGTTCGAGGTGCGAGCATGCGTCAATGAGCACAGCCTTGAATGAGCAGACATCTTGGAGACCTGGGCTTAGAATCCCTCTGCATCCACTCTCCCCGTTTACACCAAAGGACTCATGTTAAAGGATCCAAACAGGGAATAATTCAGAGCTGTATATTTTTAGTGTCCATAATGTTACTGTCCTCAACGGCAGCATCAAATCAGCAGCCTGTGCTCATTGGTCCAGCTCGACCTCAAAGGCCCGAGTGGCTGCAGGTTTTCATTCACACTAAGCAGGAGCACAACAGACTCCACCCATTTCCTCAAGTCTTCAGGTCAAGACTGGACTCATTTCATCCACACGTTTTCTATAAATCCAAATGTTGCACAAACGTCTGGATTCATAGAAAAACAATGGATCATTTCAGAACAAGAGACACTAACATCCAAACTGCAGATCCTTCTTTAAAGAACACTGAGGTTTATGGGACATTTCCTGTGAAGCCCTGATGACGTAGGTCTACAGTAGGTCTGCAGTAGGTCTACAGTAGGTCTGCAGTAGGTCTGCAGTAGCTCTACAGTAGGTCTGCAGTAGGTCTACAGTAGGTCTACAGTAGGTCTGCAGTAGGTCTACAGTAGGTCTACAGTAGGTCTACAGTAGGTCTGCAGTAGGTCTACAGTAGGTCTGCAGTAGGTCTGCAGTAGGTCTACAGTAGGTCTGCAGTAGGTCTACAGTAGGTCTACAGTAGGTCTACAGTAGGTCTGCAGTAGGTCTACAGTAGGTCTACAGTAGGTCTACAGTAGGTCTACAGTAGCTCTACAGTAGGTCTGCAGTAGGTCTACAGTAGGTCTGCAGTAGGTCTGCAGTACCGCAGGTCCACCACCAGGAGGAACCCGGTGTCAGCAACACCCTCCAGATAATGTAATGGGCGGCACGGTGGCTGAGTGGATAGCACTCTCGCCTCTCAGCAAGAAGGTCCTGGGTTCAAATCCCGGTCGGACCAGGGCCTTTCTGAGTGGAGTTTGCATGTTCTCCCCGTGTCTGCGTAGGTTTCCTCCCCCTACCACTAAAAATATGTACAATAGATCTGGCATGCGCCTCCTGTTCGGCGACCCCGCTCCCATCTCTGTGTGGAGTGAGAAACAAATGCCCAAAAAATAATAACAATTGTAAACCGCTTTGTGACTCTGGTCTGTGAAAGGCGGCATATAAATAAACATTACTTACTTACTTACTTAATACATCCATGCCCCCAGTCTTGGGGAGAAACAGAACACATTTATACTTCATATTCACAGTCTGAGGCTGTGAGACCATGAGGAGTCTGAGGCTGTGAGACCATGAGGAGTCTGAGGCTGTGAGACCATGAGGAGTCTGAGGCTGTGAGACCATGAGGAGTCTGAGGCTGTGAGACCATGAGGAGTCTGAGGCTGTGAGACCATGAGGAGTCTGAGGCTGTGAGACCATGAGGAGTCTCAGACTGTGAGACCATGAGGAGTCTCAGACTGTGAGATCATGAGGAGTCTCAGACTGTGAGACCATGAGGAGTCTGAGGCTGTGAGACCATGAGGAGTCTCAGACTGTGAGACCATGAGGAGTCTCAGACTGTGAGACCATGAGGAGTCTCAGACTGTGAGACCATGAGGAGTCTGAGGCTGTGAGACCATGAGGAGTCTCAGACTGTGAGACCATGAGGAGTCTCAGACTGTGAGATCATGAGGAGTCTCAGACTGTGAGACCATGAGGAGTCTGAGGCTGTGAGACCATGAGGAGTCTCAGACTGTGAGACCATGAGGAGTCTCAGACTGTGAGACCATGAGGAGTCTCAGACTGTGAGACCATGAGGAGTCTCAGACTGTGAGATCATGAGGAGTCTCAGACTGTGAGACCATGAGGAGTCTGAGGCTGTGAGACCATGAGGAGTCTCAGACTGTGAGACCATGAGGAGTCTGAGGCTGTGAGACCATGAGGAGTCTCAGACTGTGAGACCATGAGGAGTCTGAGGCTGTGAGACCAAACTTAGCTTTGAGCTTTTTACTGAGTGTCTGTGTTCTCTGTGATCATGATTGGTCTGTCATTAAATATATTTATGTTTTTCATTTTATCTTTTTGACTAAGCATCCAAGAGTAATATATGTTATTTTATTTTTCACATTTATTCTTAAAGAGAAGATTCTACTGTTTCTGGTTGTTAAATTGCAGTTGTTGAAGCACTTTACTTGTTTTACAAAAATAAATCACACATTGTTGAATAATTACAGTATGTAATTGTATTATTTATTTTCTCATTTATTGAGGTTATAATTTAGAAATCTACCTTTTTTAAAGTTTGTTAATTAATTTACAATAAATATGAAAATGAAAACACATTTTCATATAATATATATATATATATACATATGGAATACATAAAAAAAAATACTATTGTACTATAATACAGTACCTACTTTTTCCAAAGTAACAGAATACTATATGAAATATATACTCTAGGTCATGTACTCAGTATTCAGCAACAGTATTCTCCCCAACGCTCCAGGCAAGTTCCACCGAATGTAAATATGAAGCTTCAGCACAAATTCAGACTGGGAAGACCTCATGCCGCAGTTCTCACCCCATCCAGGGCCAGCCTCTTGAGCCTCTGCCAATCCCACAGCTCAGCCAGCCCCCTGGCCAATCCACTGACAGCAAAGCAGGCAGTTTAAAAGCAGCGACTTCTTACTTATCAGCACTTCTTAAAGCTCTTAACACCCACTGCCTCCCAAGCACCTCCTCGAGCTCCTGCTCTGGCTCCTGCTCTAGCTCCTGCTCTGGCTCCTGCTCTAGCTCCTGCTCTGGCTCCTGCTCTAGCTCCTGCTCTGGCTCCTGCTCTAGCTCCTGCTCTGGCTCCTGCTCTGGCTCCTGCTCTGGCTCCTGCTCTGGCTCCTGCTCTAGCTCCTGCTCTGGCTCCTGCTCTGGCTCCTGCTCTGGCTCCTGCTCTGGCTCCTGCTCTGGCTCCTGCTCTGGCTGCTGCCCTGGCTCCTGCTCTGGCTGCTGCCCTGGCTCCTGCTCTGGCTCCTGCTCTGGCTCCTGCTCTGGCTCCTGCTCTGGCTCCTGCTCTGGCTCCTGCTCTGGCTCCTGCTCTGGCTTCTGCTCCGCCTACGCCCCATTCACACCATGCTTCTAGCCACCACCAGTGCTTGACCCCGGGGGGTCTGAGGTCATCAGCAGAAAATGATCTCCCGTCTGCAAGTGTCACTGCCGGAGTCAATGCACCAAACAATAAATCTTTCTAAATGCATTAATGTGTCTGTCTTAGTCTCTCCAGATTGAAATGCTACAGACACAACAGACACAGACGATAGCTGTGTGGACGCCCACTTCCTGTTTCTCTGGAGAAAGTGTCGGGATGAGACGCCTGCTGCTGTTTCTTTGCACAGACAGAACATATAAAATCAAATGTTTATATTTTACTCAAAGTCAAGTCGAGCTTGTGTCTCGCAGCTGGATGTGTGGATGTGTCTCTTGCTCTCAAGGGACTGTGCAACATTACGGCATATTTTTGTGTTAATGTTGTGTAGACGATTGTCCTGATGTTGAGAGTGTGTGTCTGTCCTGCAGCTCTCTAAGACTCACACTCATTTTCCTTCAGGGAGAAGAAAGTTGAACCTTGAGCTGCAGAGAAAAGTGTGTTGCACCTAGGGGCCGACTCAGCATGTAATACTCCTCAGTTTTATTAACAGATAAAGTTGTGTTTTTGTCCCAGTTCAGTCCTAAACAAGTGATCATTGCAACAAACTGAGGTCTCAACACAGTCCAACAGCTGAGACTCGGGCTGGTTGTGTGTTTTATGCACACATTTACTTCACACAATCATCATTTCTAAGCACAAAATCAGTTTAATATTATACATATTGAATTTATGGACATTTACATTCATACAAATCAGAGTATCGAACAGTTCGAACTCAGACAATACAACTATAATTATGCGTTATGTGTTTTTAATGCAAAGTCTGATATCGTTTACACTTACATATAAATATAGCTGAGAAAATAAGCTTTAAAATGATATATAGCTTGTGGCTTATGAAGTTTTTCTTGTTTGCTCCCTTAAGAGGGAAGGCAGGTGAAATTCTGTGCAAAAAAAGAAATCGCCTGGGTCCTAATACTCTTCAAAAATTGAATAAAAAATGAAATAAAAATGAATAAAGTTTTGTTTTACTCAACTCTGTCAATAGTTGATAGCGGATAAGCTCTTTCAAATGTGTAAAAAAAAAAATGTCAATTAGGTCCGGGCCCTGGCAGCCTGTTGTTACTTTGGTTTAATAAATGAGAGAAGAGGATTCATCATTAATAATGTGTTGTGTGTTTATAGAGTTTGGATGCTGATCCCATCTGCAACAATATCTGCCTGGAACATTCAGGAAAAAGTCATCCACTTCAAATGTTACTAAAATGTAATGACATTTATATCATGATCTTATTATTCATTGGTTTTAAAACATTTAATCTAAACCGGTTAAGCCACTCTCAAAGTAAAGTGTAAACGTGAAAATAAATGTATTGTAATAATCACATGATAAAATTAGCAAACCCCTGTAATCCGTGTATCATCCGTTCTTTTGATTTTCGTTTTTTCAATTTTAGTTTTATTTAGAAAATCAAAAGAACGGATGATACACAGATTGTATAGCCCCAGTTTTTTTGCGTTGCCTTCTATCATATCCTGAGTCTGTAGTGCGGGCTTTATTATGGTTGAAAGGTAGATAATCATTGAAAGATCAAGGCTATGCTCACACTCAGAGAGCAGCCGTCCTCCTGTGGACTCACCACCTGCAGAGGGTCAGTGAGGGGCTGGTGCTATGAGACTTGGGTGGCATCTCTGACTGCCACCCCCCTGACCCAGAAATGGATTAAAGGGTAATGGATGGATGGATGGATGGATGGGTAGGTAATCATCTGAGAAATCATGCGTGCGGTTCCTCCTTTTCTGGTTTAGGGGAAACTTTTTGGAGATGATGTACCACTTTGATAATTGCATGTAGTGTTTTTGTGAGTCTGCGTGAGACTGGGTCAAGCGGTTCATATTGGTGGTTGTCCTGACGGTGGTTTGTATGGTGGGAAGGCGGTGCCTCCCGGTTGGGTACATTGATGCGAGGTCTTTGTGTTGTTCTGGGTCGGGCTACATCCGCATAGGATCTAGCCTGAGGTCTGGTATAGTAGGGCCCGGTATGAGGTGGAGGCACGGGCGTAGTTAGACTGGGGGTGAATCTCTCCCGGGGGAGAGAGTAGGCGCTGGCCCTCCACTCATACTGGGAGGTCCTGGGTCGTTGGTCGTATTCTCGGCGTGACCCAGGCCAGCCTTGCCTCATAGTAGAAAGTTGTTTTTTGTTTAAACAAAATTGATTTTGTGTTTAAGGTTTTAAAGTCTGTGTTCTCTACGTGCAACGTTTCGACAGGAGATGTGTCTTCATCAGGCCTAGAACGCAGACTGAATGAGAGCCGCGGGTGGAGCTCGTTTTGTCCAGAGAAACTACAAGATGTGCAGGCACTACTGGTGGCATCTTCTTACCTCGATTATTAAACATACAACTGAAATACCATATGCAATGAAAGTACTGAACATATTCGCGCAATTGTAGCCAGTAGATGGCAGCGGAAGTATACTAACTTGTATCTGTACAGTACAATTTATCCTCAGAGACATTAGTTTGTAGATGTAGGAATGGTCGTGGTCACAGATATGAAATGAGTGTGCTTCAAATAATGTCTCTGATAACTGTAATTTAATGGGATCATTGTTACACAAACACATGACTTTAAAGTTGTTTACATGTTAACAATGTTTGCACACTCTGCCTCGAATACAGCTATCATGTGCACAATTCCAGGAGAAACATGTGTCACTATTTAACAATGTGATTGCCCTGTGTTTGTTGAAGGCCCACCAAGGAAGAGAGCCCGGAAGAGAACCACGTCCATAGAGGTGCCAACAGAGTGGGAGAAGGAGATGCTGGCGACTCTACGGGCAAGATCAGCAGCACCGGTTCCAAACTACACCGAGGACCATTACTTCCTGCTCTCTCTCTTTCCAAAAGAGACAGTCCAAAGAACATGTGAAATTCCAGACGTACAAACTTTTATATGAAAGCAGCAACGTTCTGCTTAATTTGGAACCATTGGGCAGTACAGACAGTTCTCTGACGTGAGGTGACACCTTTTGCAGGGGAGGAAACACATGCGTGTCCTTCAATCTTCCACTGCACCTCCTCCAAGCAAGCTCCTTTTCATATCTGTACATTTGTAAATGTGTTTATTTATGTATTTATTTTATTTAACATTTATAAAGACATTTTGAAAACACATTTGTACTACTTCATGACCACCATCACCATCTTATAAAGAGCTGACTGGGTTTATAGAAGGAATAATTAACACTGTTGAAAAAGACAAGAGTGATAAGGTTGTTGACAGAATGATTTATTACACCTTATTCTGTTAATACAACCTTGCAATTCGGGAACAGCTCGAATGTGCATGTTGTGATTAACCTGACGTCGGAGTGGAGTCTGGCAGTAATTACCTATGAACAGAAAAGTGCAAATCACTATGGCCAGACACAATGTATACAGTTTAATAATCAAGAGGCTTATGATATATTATATATATTCCATCCATCCATCCATCCATTTTCTACCCTTTAATCCATTTCTGGGTCAGGGGGGTGACAGTCAGAGATGCCACCCAAGTCTCATAGCACCAGCCCCTCACTGACCCTCTGCAGGTGGTGAGTCCACAGGAGGACGGCTGCTCTCTGACTGTGAGCATAGCCTTGATCTTTCAGTGGGGGCTTTGGGCAAAGTGGGGTTAAGTGTCTTGCCCAAGGACACAACGACAGCAGTCATCAGTGGGAGTCGATGGAGAAGGTGCAGAGGTGGGAATTGAACCCACAATCTTCTGGTGCTCTACCAACTGAGCTACTGTCGCCCTAGGCTCTTTGCTTTGTGGGTGGCTCTTAAAAGAGCCGTTGTGGGTCATTCCTGTGGTGGACATGAATCCGTGTATCATTCGTTCTTTTGATTTTCTAAATAAAACCAACATTGAAAAAACGAATAACGAGGGATGTTTTTGATTCTCAATATTTGAATTTAATGCAAAATTGAAATATCGGTTTGTTTTTGGTTTTCTGTGGATCTAATTAAAACGAAAATGCAGTAAACCAATAATGATCGTCTAAATTACTTTTTGCGATTTCCATTTGAAACACAAGAATCCCCCGGAAGTGATTCGAAAGTGCGCCCCCCGCAGGTAAACAGTGGAGTAGCGGTGGAGATGAACTAAATGATGGGTGCGTTGGAAGACTTTGCAGATACAGCGATAGAATGGTTCTGAGGCCCCGTCCCAATACCCACACTGCACCCTACGCCCTCCTACGAAGTGTGCATGTGTCTGAAGTGCACACCAGGGTTGGAGTGCGCAGGTTACAAGTGTGCAAAAAAGGCGGAATTGGGACAGTGCACACTGAGTGCAGGTTACGTCATCGACTCGTCAAGAGATGGTCATTTTCAGACCTAAACTTTATAAACATTAAAGGTAATTTTGTCTGACCCTTTGGGAAACAAAATGAATTGCTTCTCACACGTTAAAATACGGTCGAAATGAGCTTCCTCCGCAGAGTGGCTGGGCGCTCCCTTAGAGATAGGGTGAGGAGCTCGGTCACACGGGAGGAGCTCGGAGTAGAGCCGCTGCTTCTCCACGTCGAGAGGAACCAGTTGAGGTGGCTCGGGCATCTGTTCCGGATGCCTCCTGGACGCCTCCCTGGGGAGGTGTTCCGGGCACGTCCCACCGGGAGGAGGCCCCGCGGAAGACCTAGGACACGCTGGAGGGACTATGTCTCTCAGCTGGCCTGGGAACGCCTTGGGGTCCCCCCGGACGAGTTGGAGGAAGTGTGTGTGGATAGGGAAGTCTGGGCGTCTCTGCTTAGATTGCTGCCCCCGCGACCCGGCAACGGATAAAGCGGAAGAAAATGGATGGATGGATGGATGGATGGATGGACGTTAAAATACATGTATATTAGTTGTTTTTAATTAGAGATAGCTGTATAATTTTAAGTTAAATGTGGGTAACTAACTATCTGGTCAGTTTTTATACATTCTAAAATTATTGTACTAAGTGTAAAGTTTAAATTGAATGTTATATAAACGCTTGCTTTAAAATGTATTAAATTGTTAAAACACAATGTCCGTAATTCTTCATCAGACGTTTATGCTTCTTTCCAAGTAACATAGCAAAACTTATTTACACACATACTGCATATATATTTCAACATTTGCATTTTCCCGACGTTTTGGTGTGTACCGCAAAGAATTATGGGCAATATCCTTCGCCAGAGTGCGCATAGATGCAGGCTACGGCGAAGTGTGGATCAGGGGCGCAAAGGGGGCGGGGCCAAAGACCTCCCTGGAGAATTGGGACACCCTACGCACTCGCACCCTTTATCGGGAACGCGCAAATGAGGGGCGCGAGGGTGGAAGTGCGAGCATTGGGACGGGGCCTTGACGTGACTTGCTTGACACACGTGGTGTCTGTGTTACTACGGCCCCGTCCCAATACTCGCACTTCCACCCTCGCGCCCCTCATTTGCGCGTTCCCGATAAAGGGTGCGAGTGCGTAGGGTGTCCCAATTCTCCAGGGAGGTCTTTGGCCCCGCCCCCTTTGCGCCCCTGATCCACACTTCGCCGTAGCCTGCATCTATGCGCACTCTGGCGAAGGATATTGCCCATAATTCTTTGCGGTACA